ATCTGAGATATCTTTGTGCAAGTGAACCCATACGCTGACGCCAAACAATTTGACTTCCCCCTTATTCAACGTTAAAGAACAGGTCGGCGTGACTGGCTAACACATCACATCCTTCACTCATCACATCCTTCACTCATCATATCCTTCCCATATCACTTCTTTCACACGTCACATCCTTCAAAAGTCACATCCTTCACTCATCAAATCCCTCACACGTCACATCACATCCTTCACACATCACATCTTCCACACGTCACGACCTTCACGCGTCACATCCTTCACACGTCACCTCCTTCACACGTCACATCCTTCACTCATCAAATCATTCACACGTCACATCCTTCACACATCACATCCTTCACTCATCAAAACCTTCACTCATCAAATCCTTCAAACGTCACATCCTTCACTCATCACATCCTTCACTCATCAAATCCTTCACACGTCACATCCTTCACACGTCACCTCCTTCACACGTCACCTCCTTCACACATCACTTCCTTCACACGTCACCTCCTTCACTCATCACTTCCTTCACATGTCACATCCTTCACACGTCACATCCTTCACTCATCAAATCCTTCACACGTCACATCCTTCACACGTCACACCCTTCACTCATCACACCCTTCACACATCACATCCTTCACACGTCACATCCTTCACACGTCACCTCCTTCACACGTCACCTCCTTCACACATCACTTCCTTCACACGTCACCTCCTTCACTCATCAAATCCTTCACACGTCACATCCTTCACACGTCACACCCTTCATTCATCACAACCTTCACACATCACATCCTTCACACGTCACACCCTTCACACGTCACATCCTTTACTTATCACATCCTTCACACGTCACACCCTTCTCTCATCACATCCTTCACACGTCACACCTTTCACGCGTCATATCCTTCACTCATGACATCCTTCACACACCAGATCCTTCACTCGTCACATCCTTCACTCATCAAATCCTTCACACGTCACATCCTTCACACGTCACACCCTTCACACATCACATCCTTCACACATCACATCCTTCACTCATCACATCTTTCACACATCACTTCCTTCACACGTCACGACCTTCACTCATCACACCCTTCACTCATCATATCCTTCACACGTCACACCTTTCACGCGTCATATCCTTCACTCATCACATCCTTCACACACCACATCCTTCACACGTCACATCCTTCACTCATCACATCCTTCATACGTCACATCCTTCACTCATCACACCCTTCACTCATCACATCCTTCACACGTCACACCTTTCACGCGTCATATCCTTCACTCATCACATCCTTCACACACCACATCCTTCACACGTCACATCCTTCACACATCACACCCTTCTCTCATCACATCCTTCACACGTCACACCTTTCACGCGTCATATCCTTCACTCATCACATCCTTCACACACCACATCCTTCACACGTCACATCTTTCACTCATCAAATCCTTTTACACGTCACATCCTTCACACGTCGCACCCTTCACACATCACATCCTTCACACACCACATCCTTCACTCATCACATCTTTCACACATCACTTCCTTCACACGTCACGACCTTCACTCATCACACCCTTCACTCATCATATCCTTCACACGTCACACCTTTCACGCGTCATATCCTTCACTCATCACATCCTTCACACACCACATCCTTCACACGTCACATCCTTCACTCATCAAATCCTTCATACGTCACATCCTTCACTCATCACACCCTTCACTCATCACATCCTTCACACGTCACACCTTTCACGCGTCATATCCTTCACTCATCACATCCTTCACACACCACATCCTTCACACGTCACATCCTTCACACATCACACCCTTCTCTCATCACATCCTTCACACGTCACACCTTTCACGCGTCATATCCTTCACTCATCACATCCTTCACACACCACATCCTTCACACGTCACATCTTTCACTCATCAAATCCTTTACACGTCACATCCTTCACACGTCGCACCCTTCACACATCACATCCTTCACACACCACATCCTTCACTCATCACATCTTTCACACATCACTTCCTTCACACGTCACGACCTTCACTCATCACACCCTTCACTCATCATATCCTTCACACGTCACACCTTTCACGCGTCATATCCTTCACTCATCACATCCTTCACACACCACATCCTTCACACGTCACATCCTTCACTCATCAAATCCTTCACACGTCACATCCTTCACTCATCACACCCTTCACTCATCACATCCTTCACACGTCACACCTTTCACGCGTCATATCCTTCACTCATCACATCCTTCACACATCACATCCTTCACACGTCACATCCTTCACACATCACACCCTTCTCTCATCACATCCTTCACACGTCACACCTTTCACGCGTCATATCCTTCACTCATCACATCCTTCACACACCACATCCTTCACACGTCACATCTTTCACTCATCAAATCCTTTACACGTCACATCCTTCACACGTCGCACCCTTCACACATCACATCCTTCACACACCACATCCTTCACACATCACATCCTTCACACATCACATCCTTCACATCCTTCACACATCATATCCGTTCAGCGGGGTCGCGCATTGTTTACCGGTGAATCCCACTCTACAGTACACCAGTGAAGATCTTGCTTAGAATAGGTCTTCAGCAACCCCTGCTTGCTGTAAGATCGACTATGCTTGTGAAGGAACTGACGGGATCGGGTGGTCAGGCTCGCTGACTTGATTGATGCATGTCATCTTACCCTAATTGCGTAAATCGATGCTCATGAAGTCAATCACTGGAGGGGCGGTCGGGTAGCCTAGTGGTTAAAGCGATCGCTCGTCACGCCGAAGACCTGGGTTCGATTCCCGACATGGGTACAATGTATGAAGCCCATTTCTGGTGTCCCCCGCCGTGATATTGCTGGAATATTGCAAAAAGGCGTAAAACAATACTCACTCACTCACTCAATCACTGGAGTGTCTGGCCCAGGTTCGATTATTTTCAGACCGCCGTCATATAACTGGAATATTGCTGAGTGCGGCGTTAAACAACAAACAAACATAAAAAGATGGCTGAAAGGTCTTTGTTGCAGACCGCCAGGCAATACCCGAAGAATCTACCCGATTCAACACCAACAGGACAAGGCGATATTGTGGTTAACGTCTCTGGGTATCGTGGGGTTTGTTTATTCAAAACATCGTCGATTTTCCTACCCGTTCTTACTTGTAGATGCCAGCAGCAGCAGGTTAAAATGTTTTTTGAGTCAGAACTTTCAACAAAATACAGCATGAATCGAAATTTGTTGTAAAGGATAAAGGGTTTGGTGCTAGCGAGTATAAACATTTATATCCTATTATTCAATGGGGGCGGTTGGTTAGCCAAGTGGTTTAAGCGTTTGCTCTTGACGCCGAAGGAACGGGTTCAATTAATAAATAGTTATGATGCCATGTGTTCGCGAAAAGGTGAAATAGTCATTCCACATCAGTGGCATCCGTTACAAACACATGCAAAGGCAAATCAATTGTTCACCCGAAAACAACAATGGCTTTCAATATCAGTAGGAAAACACATAATAACTAGAACATTTTAGATTGTCTAAAGAAAAATGTATTCAGTTATAAACAGCTTTATTTAATTACAACAGCGAAAGTGAGTGAGTATGGTTTTACGTCTTTTTGTTTTTTTGCAATATTCCAAAAATATCAGGGCGGAGGACACTAGAAAGGGGCTTCACACATTGTACCCATGTGGGAAATCGAACCCGGGTCTACGGCGTGACGAGCGAACGCTTTAACCACAATGCTACCCTACTTTCCGGCAGAACAAAGTAGTTGTATATATTCACGTGTGATAGAGTGACAAAAAGTATAGAAACCTTTGAAGTATTGTTGAGTTCAGTACCTGAACCATATTATTTTCCCTTTCTCCAGCCCTTTCTGTAAAGCAGCCCAAAGCAAGTCTGGATTTTCCTCAGGTTCAGGATCTCCCATCACACTGGGTCTCCTTTGGCATGGAGTTATTTGTTTCCATCAAAATTATATTTTCAGAGATGAATCGTCAGTCTACTGTAAGTCATAAACATATACATCGTTCCTCCTAAATAAAGGATCCATTAATACAGCTTATCGTAACGAAAACCTACATTGACTGATTCCGTTACCAGTGAACACTTCCCCGTCGGTATTCCACGTTAGAATAGGTCTGCAGCAGCCTGTGCTGGTTGTACCAGGCCACCAAATAAATCGGGTGGTCAGCTCGAAGTCTCGGTTGAACGCGTGTGATCGAACCCAGACAGCGTGGATTGTTGCTCACAATGTCAATCACTTGATCGAGTGCGGCGTTAAACAACGAGCAAGCAAACAAACCAAACCGATGAACACTAAATACAGTTCGACCATACTAAAACGTACGTACTAAACGTACAAAAAAATACGTTTAGGAATCCGACGGTCTTGGTCTTACATTTTTTCTTTGCAGTCGGGGGTATATTTACAGTACAACGTATGGTGTGCACAGTTTCCTTTGCAGTCGGCATCTTGTGTACTACACACACTGCAATATATTGAAATATCTTCTTGAAGAACAAAAACAATTCTGAAATGTCTTTTCTATTTTTTATCATTTGCCAACCTAGCGAAAATGACTCTTCACCAAAATATACGTAAACCTAAAAATACAATTCTGGCCTGATTGAATACAGACATTGTGAAACTGAAAGAGATTATCTTTCCCCACATTTTCCGCATCCTGTCTTTTGAAAAATATACCTTTTAACAGCAAGTGATTTTTAACATCTCCATACATAGCATTACCTCCAGGCAAATAGCTTGCCATGTGTAACACGTCAGACCGAAGTCTGAAACAATGACAGTTAGATGATAGAGTGTGAGGTCAGTCCTACACCCAGATGTTCACAGTAGTGTCACAGCTTAGCACACTTTGTCAATATTCGTCAGTCTAGAGTCAACAGACTCTACTGGCAAGTCTTACAAACAAGCAGCTTATCTATCACATTCGGCCTTGACCTTGTTCAGAGGGGAGGTCAGATACATAATAGTTACGACTATCGTGAAGGTCTATGAGTTATTCCTGTCATATCGACAGCAGTGTTCTGAGTGGACGACTGGGTGTTCCTGTTCAATCTCTACTGGCAGTAAGACTACCTGGGAATAGCAACTCCGGCCGTCCAACCAAGGTAAGTCACGAGGGATGGGTGGGGCTGTCGTCTAAGGCGCCGGATATTGCTGTGCAACCATTGCCTCCCTTTAGCGTGCGTGACAGAAACCTGTGGTCGAGGTTCGAATCCCGATTCACCCTGATGATGTAACATGGCTGGTCAGCACCATACCCATACTCGTGAGTTCACCAAGCTGGTTTACGACCTACGCTATTTTGCACTTTCTTCCAATATTAAGCTTATTTGCCGTGACAAATGGACAATGTTGAGATCTGCGTCGGACCGTCGTCATACACGCAGTCATATACGGACAAAGGTATGCAGTAAACGTTGCAGTAAACATACACTCATAAATTGTTCATTTGTGACACCGATATATACACTGATGACAATAAGTTATCATTGTTGCTGATCTTTGACCACCTTGTCAGTGATACTCATTGTTATCATGAAGTATGTGAATATGATAAACCCGGCGAGTCAGTGAGTGAGTTTAGTTTAACGCCGCTTTGAACTTTAATCCAATTACATCAGGGCGTGTCAACTTAATGTTTGCGGAAAGCCCGAAGTGATGCAGGTCTCAGACGTTTGCCACCTTGTTGAAACCCACGAGCATGGGTATGGTGTTGACAAACCTAGAAACATAATCGGGGTGAACCGGGATTCGAACCCACAACCATAGGTTTCTGACGTGCCCAAGGGACGCAACTCTGCACAACCAATGAGCCACCCGTGCACCCTCTTCTAGTACCGGGGCGCTCGGTACCTATTGTAACCCGGTTGTCCATGGCGTAGATCATTGCTGGAGTGACACAAGATTTGAATGATTCCAGAGACAGCAAGTGACAAACCTTCTCCGTCTGCCAGTCGCCCTGTCCCGCCATGCCGCTGTGTCTGTTATACACCAACCTGAAGGACACCGAGGTCCCTGGTGATCTGGAGGTCACTTTAGCGGAGACAATTGCCAAGGCGCTTGGGAAACCTATGCAGGTCAGTTATCAATCTCATCAAAATCGATCAGTTTTCTTCGATACCTCTCTGCGTGATGATCAATAGATCTCGAGGATCAATTCAGGTGATCTTTGTAATCAGCCAATCAGCGTGGAGGCTTCAAAATTCTCTGTACGAGCATTTACAACAGCATATCTTATTTCTGTACCCTGAAAACGAACATAAACGGGATGTTCCGAATGTAAATACTAAAGGCCGTGCTATCTACGTTGTGGATTAGGCTATACACTCCGTCGTTTCTCTATCGAGGAATAACTGTGTTCTGTGTGGGTATTCTTTGGAATCTTCTGAACCGAGGTGATAAGGAAATGAAACCAAATAGTTTGAGAAAGCTGGCATCCGATTGGCTTAAAATGTCGCCCATCCTTCCAATGGAGGAATTGTCAGACATTCACGCGGAGGTATCTTAAGGGAGTAAAAGATCTGATTTGTTTTAGATTGACCAGTACTTCAAGTATACATAACAAGAAAATCAATTAGATAAATAAAAGCGACAAAACCCTTTCCATATTCATAGGAAATCTTTGGGTCGATCATAAGCACGTTTTTATTATTCCAAACCTGTACTCAATATGTTTTTCATGTAACTTGCATATTAATAGAAGTTCCCGAGTGCGGCATCAGATCTACTGAAAGCGCTCATAAAATCTCCTTCACAGTGAAAAAATAACGGTATCGTTGTCACAGAGCTACATATGGTTATATTATAAACAAAGGAAAGTATATATCAGCGTTTGATGGTGGCTAAAAATGAAACAAACATGATTTGATGGTGATGTATTTGATACGGGTATCATAGTTTTGGAACTGTGTTATCGTCGACTGTTTTCAGCCTAGTAGCGTTTTTGGTCAAATATAATCTTCAAGTGTAGTGCTCGTTTAATTTCCAACATAATTTTTTTTTTTAACATCATTGTTTACCATTTCAGAAAATGAACGTAACGATACAGAGTGGACTGCGCATGTACCGCCTGGAGAGCACAGCCCCGACCTGCTTCCTTCAGATCCACTCAATAGACGTGTTTGACAAAGAGAGGAACCCAACCTACACTCAGCCTATCATAGACGTCCTCAAGAATGCCTTGAACATCGACGGAAACAGGTAATTATTAAACTATAGAGCATGATAACTCTTTAACGTATATTGAAGCAAGTGTATTTTGGTGAGAAGTGGACCTGCATTCTGTGTTAAAGTGAAAACGGGTCATGTTTTCTATTACTATCCGAGCTTGATAAATACGCTTATGAATGAAAAAAGGTCACAACTTATTTCCCTCCCTGACGAGTTGATCATGCTCAATAACCCTTAATTGATACTCAAATATTATTCATAGAATCGCCGGTGTCCCGGTATTAACCCTCCCCCGTACAAATTCTCCCCCCGGAGATTTTATACAGGTACAGATTCTCCCCCGGAGAACCTGTTCTGAAATAAAATCTCCCCCGGGCGGATATATTTCGCGACCCCCTCAGTATAAAGTCTCCCCCCTGATTATTCGGTTTGTTGCAATGTCTTTAAGTACTATATTCTTTAAATAGTTATCTTTAATGTAAGGAGGGTTACAAGTATTTATAAAACGACCGGGGGAGGAAATATTCTTGGGGGGGGGGGGGAGAGATTTTGTTTCGCAGGGTGGGGGAGAGTTTATTTCGAGAGGGGCGAAACTGTACCGGTATAAATTCGCCGGGGGGAGATTTTATTCTGGGGGCGAATATATATCGTGACACCGGCACTCTGGTATGAAAGCATGGATCACATCGTACGCTTCATTTGACACTGAAAATGCCGTAATTTGAAATTTATGTTTTTCTCATCCCATATTCTCACCAAATATGAATAATAGCGGGCCCGGACTAACGATGTTCCTCTGCACGTTGTACACTATTAGATGGCTGTTTTCAGAATTGTTATCCAGTACCTGCCAATCCATCTTCATGACGTGGGGCTGGAGAAGCCGTCGTAAGGCGTTGCAGCGTCACCACCACGTCGTGCGTTACCATGGACGTCACGTCAAGGTCAAGGTCAAGGAGCCATGAACGACGTGTGTGGACATGGCCTATGTATAAATGACATAACGGACATGTTGCTCCGACATAACAGTACACAACAGTACACAACTGTCTGTTTTTGTAGCCGTGGTTGTATGTAATAAACGCTGCCGTGAAACAGACCATGTGCACTTCATATTTGCAGTGTTACTTCTTAGTTTTATTTTTGTTTGTTTGTTGCAATATTCCAGCTATAAGAGGGCGATCTGTAAATAACCGACATATAAATAATTGACATCATGAGCATGGATTTTTTTATTAAAAAGAAAGTGATGAAGGAGAAACGCAATTTATTTTTTCCCACCAGGAATACCAACAAGCACAACTGGGCGAAGATTGTACTCGGGTCTTTCAAACAAAGTTCAAGCATGGATCACATCGTGCGCTTATGTGAAACTGAATAAGTTTACACATCTCGCTGGTATCTAAATATAGTAACTTCTTCACAACTGCTTACATGAAATAGTACTACATAGAACACATGTCATCATAAGTACACGCGCTTCCGGATTCTATTCTTTAAACTGCATGTGTATTGACCGATAAACCAATTTTCAATTGTGAGTGTAGTTTTCACATATATAATTTTCATTTTTCTGACAACGTTAGCATTATTTCACCATCATTTCCTATTGTGCTTAGCGTGTAAACAACCATCATCTTAAGTCAATGTATTTCCAAAATGAAAATCCAAAAAATCGTGAAGAATAGGTGGCTTTGTGTCAAAGACAGCGTGAGGTAATTCTCATATTTCCACAGGTCGCGTGTTGTTTTCGGCAAAAATGAATGCGCCGCTACGTTCTTTAAACTATGCCGTCACTGCATTGGAAGCTAATTTCGTGACATCATAGTACTGTGTGACATCTTTAATGGAATGTCGCTGCACGTTAGAATATTGAGGAAAATACGAAGGGCAGGTTTTTATCCCTTTGTTACAGTGAGTGAGCATGGTTTTACGCCGCTTTCACCAATATTCCAGCAATATTGTACCAATGTGGGGAATCGAACCCGGGTCTTCGGCGTGACAAGCGAAGGCTTAAACCACAAGGCTACCCGACCGCCCCCGCTTGCTACAAAATAAGCACTCTAAGAGGTTCCTGTGTTCTTATAGCTAAACGATTATCCGTACGTAGTTAAAATATATTTTTACTAAATACTGTTAATTATTCTTTTATGCAAAAGTTTGTTCGTTTTGTTTGTTGTTCAATATTCCAACTGGCGGTCTGTACATAATCGAGTATGGACCAAACAATCCAGTGATTGACATCATGGGCATCGATCTACGCAATTAGACCAGATAATCCAGCGATTGATATGAGCATCGATCAACACGATGACATGAATCAACCAATTCAGCGAGTCTGACCACCCGATCTTGTTAGTCGCCTCTTACGACAAGCATGGGTTGCTGAAAACAATTCTAGCCCGGATCTTCATGGGTTTATGCAAAAATAAAGATGATTGATGATTTCCCAGCAGTTAAGTGAGGATTTGGCACAGTAGTTTAGTTGCGCCTACCTAAAGAAATCCAAACTGGCCCTTTTTCAATTAAAAAGTTACAATAAGTCGTCTTGATTTGTATAATATCCCAGAAAAAAATTATCAGACCATTTGACATCCGTTAGTTTCAATGCCTTGTTGCGATCCCGGAACGTGATTGTCAAACCTATGACATAACCCTCTGAAATTGGGAATAAGTGGAAAAGAAATATTTCGAAAAGAAATCATGAAAGTGCTAATATCTGGTCACAGCTGCAAATATAAACACAAAGCTTAGACTAACAGTTAATCTATGAAATCTGTTATTACACAATACCCTTCTTGACTCTAAAAATATATATAAATAATTGTCCTGATGCTGATTTGGAATGGAGCTAGCTAGAGCTGGCTAGACTTGCTTTTGTATGCGTTTCTAGATTTCTGGGGGTTTTTCATAAAAAAATATGTTCCACAGTCATGGTGCAGGACTATACAAAGCTATGCACGACACATGCACGACATGGTAATAAATATATACACTTATTCAGCAATCTATAACGTCACAATAGAGGTTTACAGGAGAGAGTCATGTAACGGTAAACATCGCCTGCAAAGATATTGCGAGTTAGAGCAGAGCAAAGTGCCCTGGTTCAGTGGGTGTCATTGATCGACGTGCATAGGAACACAATCCTGATAAAGAACTCCAACCAATACAGTTTCCGCTGCATATACCTCGAGCTTTACAAATGCAAAACAAAACAACCTCAGCACTACGACTGTCGTAAGTCTATGTTAAGGAAGGGGCGGTCGGGTATAGCCTAGTGGTTAAAGCGTTCGCTCGTCACGCCGAAGACCTGGGTTCGATTTCCGACATGGGTACAATGTGTGAAGCCCATTTCTGGTGGTCCCCGCCGTGATATTGCTGGAATATTGCTAAAAGCGGCGTAAAACCATACTCACTCACTCACTATGTTAAGGAATGGGAGTTACGACTGTGTTTGTTGTTTAACGGCGCACTCCACAATATTCCAGCTATAGGACGTCGGTCTGTAAATAATCGTGTCTGGACCAGACAATCCAGTGATTGACATCATGAGCATCGATCCATGCAATTGGAATACGATGACATGCATCAACCAAGTCAGCGAGCCTGACCACCCGATCCCGTTAGTCGCCTCTTACGACAAGCCGGGGAGTTACGATACCCCTAGCGGTAAGATCGCGATCACCTTGTACAACGACAGGGCTGTAGGTTCATGGAACATAATTAAGTGGATTCAGTACTTTTATCGAAGTAATTTTGTACTTTATCCGGATAAAAAAGCACATGTGTGAGAACGATATTGTTCTTTGAGCTGTACGCCATTATAATACTGCCTCTCGTCTTCGATCTGTTGCTAAATTTCCATTTGAGTCACGTGACTTTGCCTGGTCACTGTAACCGGGTCACTGTAACCGTGTCACTGTAACTGTGTCAATGTAACTAGGACATAAAATATTCATGAATACAACATATTCATGGCCAGTTCAACATATACAACATATTTATTAGGAATACAACATACAATATAAACATTAGGAATACAACATACAATATAAACATTAGGAATACAACATACAATATATATTACGAATACAATAAAACACAAGGAGAACCATACATGGCGAACACAACATATACATGCTAAGTACAACATAAACATGACGAGTACCATATATACATGACGAATACAATAATAACATGCTGAGTACAACATGATCATAACGAATACAAAGTATATATGACGAGTACAACTATTCATGACGAATACAACTCAAACATGACGAATATATATATATATATATATGACAAGTACATCTATACATGACGAACACAACACAAACATGACGAATACAATATATATATGACGAATACAACATATACATGACCAGTACAACTATACATAACAAATACAATATATACATGACGAGTACAACTATACATGACGAATACAACACAAACATGACGAATACAATATATACATGACGAATACAATATATACATGACGAGTACAATATATACATGATGAATACAACATAAACATGACGAGTACAACCGTTCTTAAGTACAATATATATATATATATATATATGACGAGTATAACTATACATGAAGAATACAACACAAACATGACGAATACAACATATACATGACCAACATAACTTCACATAACAATAACAATATATACATGACGAGTACAAAAAATACATACCCAGTACAACATATACATGACCAGTACAACTATACATACAAGTACAATGTATACATGACCAGTACAACTATACATACAAGTACAATGTATACATGGCCAGTACAACTATACATACAAGTACAATGTATACATGACCAGTACAACTATAGATACAAGTACAATATATACATGACGAGTACAATATATACATGACCAGTACGACTACATATAACAAGAACAATATATGCATGGCGAGTACAATGTATACATGACCAGTACAACTATTCATACAAGTACAATATATACATGGCGAGTACAATATATACATGACCAGTACAACTATTCATACAAGTACAATATATACATAGCGAGTACAATATATACATGACCAGTACAACTATACATACAAGTACAATGTATACATGGCCAGTACAACTATACATACAAGTACAATGTATACATGACCAGTACAACTATAGATACAAGTACAATATATACATGACGAGTACAATATATACATGACCAGTACGACTACATATAACAAGAACAATATATGCATGGCGAGTACAATGTATACATGACCAGTACAACTATTCATACAAGTACAATATATACATGGCGAGTACAATATATACATGACCAGTACAACTATTCATACAAGTACAATATATACATGGCGAGAACAATATATATATGACCAGTACAACTATTCATACAAGTACAATATATACATGGCGAGTACAATATATACATGACCAGTACAACTATTCATACAAGTACAATATATACTTGGCGAGTACAATATATACATGACCAGTACAACTATTCATACAAGTACAATATATACATGGCGAGTACAATATATACATGACCAGTACAACTATTCATACAAGTACAATATATACATGGCGAGTACAATATATACATGACCAGTACAACTATTCATACAAGTACAATATATACATGGCGAGTACAATATATACATGACCAGTACAACTATTCATACAAGTACAATATATACATGGCGAGTACAATATATACATGACCAGTACAACTATTCATACAAGTACAATATATACATGGCGAGTACAATATATACATGACCAGTACAACTATTCATACAAGCACAATATATACATGACGAGAACAATATATACATGACCAGTACAACTATTCATACAAGTACAATATATACATGGCGAGTACAATATATACATGACCAGTACAACTATTCATACAAGCACAATATATACATGGCGAGAACAATATATACATGACCAGTACAACTATTCATACAAGCACAATATATACATGACGAGAACAATATATACATGACCAGTACAACTATTCATACAAGCACAATATATACATGACGAGAACAATATATACATGACCAGTACAACTATTCATACAAGCACAATATATACATGACGAGAACAATATATACATGACCAGTACAACTATTCATACAAGCACAATATATACATGACGAGAACAATATATATATGACCAGTACAACTATTCATACAAGCACAATATATACATGACGAGAACAATATATACATGACCAGTACAACTATTCATACAAGCACAATATATACATGGCGAGAACAATATATACATGACCAGTACAACTATTCATACAAGCACAATATATACATGACGAGAACAATATATACATGACCAGTACAACTATTCATACAAGCACAATATATACATGACGAGAACAATATATACATGACCAGTACAACTATTCATACAAGCACAATATATACATGACGAGAACAATATATACATGACCAGTACAACTATTCATACAAGTACAATATATACATGGCGAGTACAATATATACATGACCAGTACAACTATTCATACAAGTACAATATATACATGGCGAGTACAATATATACATGACCAGTACAACTATTCATACAAGTACAATATATACATGGCGAGTACAATATATACATGACCAGTACAACTATTCATACAAGCACAATATATACATGACGAGAACAATATATACATGACCAGTACAACTATTCATACAAGCACAATATATACATGGCGAGTACAATATATACATGACCAGTACAACTATTCATACAAGTACAATATATACATGGCGAGTACAATATATACATGACCAGTACAACTATTCACACAAGTACAAGATAAACATGACGAGTACAATATATACATGACCAGTACAACTATTCATACAAGTACAATATATACATGGCGAGTACAATATATACATGACCAGTACAACTATTCATACAAGTACATATATACATGGCGAGTACAATATATACATGACCAGTACAACTATTCATACAAGTACAATATATACATGGCGAGTACAATATATACATGACCAGTACAACTATTCATACACGTACAATATATACATGACGATTACAATATATACATGACCAGTACAACTATTCATACAAGTACAATATGTACATGACGAGTACAATATATACATGACGAGTACAATATATACATAACAAGTACAACATAAACATGACGAGTACAACTATTCATACAAGCACAATATATACATGACGAGTACAATATATACATGACGAGTACAATATATACATAACAAGTACAACATAAACATGACGAGTACAACTATTCATACAAGTACAATATATACATGACGAGTACAATATATACATGACGCATACAACACATCCTGGACGATATACGCTTGTCTGATTTGCTAAATAATGTTTCATCAAAAATAGAACTGACGTCAAATAAAATGAATTCACACAGTCTGTTCCGGACGATTCGGTCTTCAGAAAATGCAAAATAAGGCCTCGCTTGCCTGTAGGAGACCATGTAATTCAAGCTCACGATCGGCCCCGATTAGAGATATACACAGCCCATACACTGTCACGTCCGTGTGTGATAGTACTCCTAAACTTACCCTAGGCCTCTATCTCACATTACATTCAATAGAGATATAACAGTGTAACGTTTGAATAAGCACAGTTTGTAGGTCGTTTTAGTGAACGTATCCGGTATTGATAATTCCTTAACCTTGACCTTGACCGTCGGGCGCATGGTGACCTTCCAGGCAGACAGCTTGACAGCCTACATCGAACACACGCTGCAAGACTACATTGCGAGATCACTTGGATTGTACGCTGGTTTAAACACGGTTCTCCTAACCGCGAGCTTCTTCACTATTGCGGTGAGTTGAGGTAGATTTATTTTTAACACAAGTGTACAGAGAGTTGGGTCCGACTGATCCGGCTACAGCATCAGCACTGGCTCAGCTCTAATGTCTGGTGTCCTCAGCCGTGATATTGCTGAAATATTGCTAATAGCGGCGTTAAACCATACTCCCTCACTCAGCTATATAGTTAGTTGTAACTAGCGTGTGAGTGTTGTGTAACGCCGCAGTCAATAATAATACTGCTGTATCCCGCCAGCCTGTTAATAGTCCAGTATCGACTAGGAAAACTAGTGACAGTGAATAGGAGCAACGCCCCGCGCCACCAGGGCACGATGACATGGAATCAGTCAAGTCGCGGTGAATAACCATCTAATTCGGTCGCCTCTCACAAGAGAAACAGGGCGAGGGAGCTACCCTGAACCAGGTCCCTCGGGGTAGACTAACGTCTACTCTCTGAAATGAACTATTATACAGAAAAAAATGTTAAAATATAGTTATAAAATATGATAAAAAGGAGTCCAGAGATTTTCCTCATTTCCTGATAGTGCAGGAGACTTGACACATATTATAAACTTGCATGGGCTGTATTGGATATATTTGTTTTAATTGTGCAATTGACTACCCGCGGGGCTGTTCATTATGGTAATGATATAGGTCCTAGCCATCGTCATCGTGTGATGTGTAAACAAACATAATGCGTTTTCTGTGACAATATGTGGAATGCAAACGTACAACAATACCGCCCTAATTACATTAGATATATCATTAGTGATCTGCAGGGGCAGCGAACCTGAACACTATATGTATCTATACTTTGTTGAACGCTACAATCGGCAAGTGCAATGAGTGAGTGAGTATGGTTTTACGCCGCTTTTAGCAATATTCCAGCAATATCACGGCGGGGGACACCAGAAATCGGCTTCACACATTGTACCCATGTCGGGAATCGAACCCGGGTCTTCGGCGTGACGCGCGAACGCTTTAACTACTAGGCTATACCCGACCGCCCCCTCAAGTACAATGAAACATTGTTACCCCGCAGTACTTATACATGTAAACATCGACTCATCCGTAGTTCTAAAAAAGGGCGATATGGGTCTGACGTTCCGTTGAATGGTTTGTATATATTAGTGCGCATTCAAAGTTCATTAAATTCACACACGGTGACGCATTTTCCGTTATGCGTTCGCGTATAAAATATTATAAATGCCTCACCTGAGATCACTGGGCCAGCTGTGACCATAACGGTTCTTTCCATTACTGCGTCGTAATCAATATTTCGACATATGGAGCCCGGGCTAATGTCTTATTATTAAATGTTATTAAAAAACCCAAAATATGTAACTATTTACTATTTCTCTTATCAGTGATGTTGTCATTGACCCGGATGTCCTTTTTTTATTATATATTTATGCGTATATGAATATTTCTACTGTCATACATGTTTACACATTTTGGATGTCTATTAGTTTCCACTATTTTGATATTCCATTCTGCAATTATTGTAGATTAAACATTTGTAGTTCTAAAGCAGATCTAACCTATACCAGTGACACACAAAATGAGATCCTACTGTACGAGAAACGGCACAGTAAAGTAGGCAATGCATCATATAGTCTTTATCTGCCGTCAATATTGTTTTGTGTTGCACAAGATCCGGGTTAGAATTGGTCTTCAGCAACCCATGCTTGTTGTAGGAGATGACTTACGGGATCGGGGTGTCAAGCTCTCTGCGTCCCTCGTGGTTTATTCCTCCCGCAGTGTTTCATTGCATGATAAACTACCGTGATTCGCTTATTTCTTAAATAACCGTCATATAACTTGAATGATGCTGATTTTAAAAATCGTTTATACCTTGACAAAGAGTGAGTGAGTGAGTATGGTTTTACGCCGCTTTTAGCAATATTCCAGCAATATCACGGCGGGGGACACCAGAAATGGGCTTCACACATTGTACCCATGTCGGGAATCGAACCCGGGTCTTCGGCGTGACGAGCGAACGCTTTAACCACTAGTCTACCCGACCGCCACCTTGACAAAGAATTGTTACAGGTTGTGAGACTGCGGGATACTCCAGAAGAGTCATAGATGACATTGGCGGCTCAGTCATCTTAAGCGTCATTTGGACGTCATAGAATTGTGGGTTTGAATCCCAGACTCGCCCATTTACAATTACAGGTTTGTCAGCACCATGCACGCGGTCATGGGTTTCACCAAAGTGGTAAACGTCTAAGACCTGCATCACTTACCTCCCACATCAAACTGATAAGATGGGCATGGGAGGCGATAAAATGGATCGGGATTCATCGTACCCCGATATTGATCGTTGGTCATAACATCATTCCCTGGTTTGTCTGGTCCAGGTTTCCAGACTGCCGTTATATTGCTGGAATATTGCTGAGTGTAGCTCTGATGAAAACAGCAACAAACATCACGCCGTGAGTGAATTACTGTCCCCAGCGTAATTAAAGTTTAACTTAATCAAACCACTCACTACTGCTAACTCTCAGAGGAGCTGATCTCAGCTTGGTAAAGAGGCTAACCCCACTATGCAATAGGGGTGACTATTGGTCTGGAAATCACTATTGTGATAACTATTGATATTGAAAGAAACTATTGCGATAACTATTGATATTTCAAGCAACTATTGCGATAAATATCGATAGTTTTCAATGTATCATTTCAGATGGACTTTCGGCATCCAACAAGTTTTTGTCAAGCTTGTTTTTTTTCTTTAACATAGCCAAAAGACTTCCAAACACATGATTTTCCACCCAAGTTTGTCACAAACTCCATTTGACTGTCACCCTCCGCCATTTTAATTTAAGGAAGACCGGTTGCTAAGCAGCAAGGACAGTTAACTCTAATCCTCACTCGGCTGCGTTCGTGTGCGTTTTTCGGTGACCTAATCGCATGGTATGGTAAATGCAATCGAAACTATCCATATTCCTATCTGAAATCGATAGTATCGATCGGAAACTGATTTAACAATCGATTTATTGACTTTTGGTGCTTACCAATCGCAATATATCGATATTTCGATTTATCGTGACACAACTACCATGCAAGCAACGTGTGCTTAACCATCGGTTTACAGCTTCACGTTATCAAGCAGTAATATCACAGACTGCCGCGAAAAACGATCAATAATCTCTTCCATTGCGAAAATACGCTGACCAGCACGGAACCGTAAACTCTACTCAACGTTTGGACATAGCCTGATTGTGCTTGTAATTTGCAAGCGGTACTTGAAAACTAGATGGTGAAATAGTCACTGATACTGTTGATATCTGACGACGATACTGTCATTTGTAGTGCAGCATAACTCAGCGTTGTCCTGTGCCAGTCTCCCTGTTCCGCCATGCCGCTGTGTCTGTTATACACGAACCTGAAGGACGCTGAGGTCCCTGGAGGTCTGGAGGTCACTCTGGCGGAGACAGTCGCCAAGGTTCTCAACAAGCCCATTGAGGTCAGTTGCTGATATACCAACAAAACAGATTAAATTAATGAGTGTTGTGTTTTGATATCGATTCAGATTTCATATCGACTAGACTGGTTTCAGTCCCTTTCTATATATTCAAAATAATATCAGAATCAGAATTTCTGTTTCAGAACCAATGTTTCAGAAGTATATGAACTACGGGATCGGGTGTCAGGTTCGCTTCCTTGGTTGATGCATGTCATCGTATCCCAACTGCGTGGGTCGATGCTCATGATATCAACCACTGGATTGTCTGGTCCAGACTCGATTATTTCAAGACCGCCTTCATAAAGCTGGAATATTGCTGAGTGCAGCGTTAAACAAACAAACAAAACATGAACTATGTTTTCAATGACTAACTCTTCTGAAGGTATTACTATTGTGTTCAGTATCACTCTAAAGAGTATCAGAACAATTATACATGCACATACCTCAAAATTCGAAACACCTTTATATCCCCAGCATTTCGTCAGATCTCAACAGTGAAACCTCATTGACGTTGCCCTTCCCAGTAAGATCGTTCTGATCAACGAATCAAAAGTAAGAGTGTCCCTGTAACTGAACACATGTAAAGAGAGTGAGTGAGTGAGTATAGTTTTACGCCGCTTTTAGCAATATTCCAGCAATATCACGGCGGGGGACACCAGAAATGGGCCTCACACATTGTACCCATGTCGGGAATCGAACCCGGATCTTCGGCGTGACGAGCGAACGCTTTAACCACTAGGCTACCCGACCGCCCCATGTAAAGAGTATCTCACCCAAGATGTTTTTTCGATATATAGGCTTGCAGAGGAGTTAAACACTTTTATCGACGAGTATGATATGTGCAATATATATATATATATATATATATATATAGTAAAGTACGGTTATAACGAACTCAAAGGGACTACTAATTTTAGTTCGTTATAACCGTAGTTCGTTATAAGCATATATACAGCATAACTAAAGCAAATAGTCGGGACCAAAAGGTAAGTTCGTTATATCCGTCAGTTCGTTATAAGCGTGTTCGTTATAACCGTAGTTTACTGTATTGGATATAAAAATACACGAGGGTAAAATTCTATTTACCATCCCAAATCATTCTTCTAACTTTTTTAGTATGTAAACAGTAATTTCCAGTGTCATTAGTGTAAAAAGTTAAGCTTCACTGGATTGTCTGGTCCTGACTCGATTATTTACAGACCGCCGTCATGTGGCTGGAATATTGCTGAGTTCGGAAACAAAACAAAAACGTTGATTGTCATCAGTATACAGTGTAACCGCATTGACGTTGTCCTTCCCAGTATAATCGTACTGATTAACGAATCAATAGTAAGTAAGAGTGTCCCTGTAACTGTATACATGCATTGAGAATCTCACCCATGTGTCTTTCGATATCAAGGCTTGAGTATGATATATGATATTTGATATGTATATTGGACATAACAATACATGAGGGTAAGATTCTATTTATCATCCCAAATCATTCTTCTAACTTTTTCAGTATGTAAACAGTAATTTCCAGTGTCATTAGTGTAAAAAGTAGAGCTTCAGTGGCAGAGAGATTAGTGATGTCATTTTATTGTGACGTCATGGTAGCTGTGGACGTAAAAATGGTCTGCATTGTGATGCAATTCATTGCAATGACATGTCCAAGGAGATAGTGCTTGAACACCCCGAAGCGATTTCTCATAACGTTCCCAACATTGGTCTGTAGGTAGGGGTATCCGGTCTAACGAGGTTTCACTGTATAAAGAAAAAAGATATTTCCATAATCATAAAAATTATTGTCCATTGTACGATCCCGTCTATGTTTGTGAATCACTATCGAAGAGTTCGTGTTCGCAAAAAGCTGAGCGTATCCTGGCCCACCGGAAGCACCCGTCACAAACACATGCAGAGACAAGTCAATTGTTCACCTGAAAAAATACGGGTACAAGTAGGGAAACGCATCTGAAACACCGTTTTTGTCACTGCTGCGCCAAATATGGAAATGTCCGACGGATATCTACCATAAGAAGTCTTGGAAGCTTACTGAGGCCGTGAATGTTGTAACCCTGATTAACTTTTAAGAAAAACTCGTATCACGCAGAAAGAGCCTGCCCCATTGAACCTCAGAATTTGTCAAATGAAAACACCAAAGGCTGGAGCTGCTGGTATATTGCTCGACAAAAGGGACCGTTACCCATAAGAAAGATTTTATCCTTCTCTTAATCCCTCTTATGGTTTGAAGGTTATGGCTTTAGACCGTTTTCATCGTAATTCCAGCAGGTTTATGTTTGGAGACGAAGTGAAACCCAGCCAATTGACTTAGTAAAATCATGTTTAATGTTTTATTATCATGAAGTTCAAGATGACCGATTACAACACAGACCACACCTGACTTACTAATTTCACTCACCCAATGACATCGTTAGTGTAATATATACGCCAATGTTGACTTTTAATGAAGGTCACAATAGCAATGACGTTATACGCTGAATCATCGTTGACGTCATGTAAAGCGTCTCGGCACAGTTTCAATTCGGTAGACTTCTTCACAACAGCCAATTGTACAGTGTGTAAAATAATAATAAAGAGAAGAGATTTTACTTCCACATGTGTGTCATACTGTTTTTCCGAAATTTATACCTCGTGTAATCTAACTTATTTTCACATACAATAATCTTTTAGAGAGTGACCACGATGATACAGAGTGGACTGCGCATGTACCGCCTGGAGAGCACAGCCCCGACCTGCTTCCTTCAGATCCACTCAATAGACGTGTTTGACAAAGAGAGGAACCCAGCCTACACTCAGCCTATCATAGACGTCCTCAAGAATGCCTTGAACATCGACGGAAACAGGTGAATAGTGCAAAGTGTTTTGTTCATCATCATAATCATCATCATCATCCTCTTCTTCTTCCTCCTTCTCATCATCATTTCCGTTATCATCATCATCATCTTCATCATCATCATCATCATCATCATCATCATCATCATCCTCTTCTTCTTCCTCCTTATCATCATAATCATCATCATCATCATCATCATCATCATCATCATCATCATCATCATCCTCTTCCTCCTTATCATCATCATCATCATCATCATCATCATCATCCTCTTCTTCTTCTTCCTCCTTATCATCATAAGCATTATCATCACCATCTTCATTTTGATCATCATAATAATCATGATCATCATCATCATCATCCTCTTCCTCCTTATCATCATAATCATCATCATCATCATCCTCTTCTTCTTCCTCCTTATCATCATAAGCATTATCATCATCTTCATTTTGATCATCATAATAATCATGATCATCATCATCATCCTCTTCTTCCTCCTTATCATCATAATCATTATCATCATCATCTTCGTTATCATCACCATCATCATCATTATCATTATCATCTTCATTATCATCATCATTTTTGTTTTCATTAAAATGTATATATTTCTATAATTTCCATTTGCTGTCACTCTTCCTCACTGTTTACAGGGTAGTCATCCAGTATCTGCCACTGTTACCGCACAACGTCGGAATGGAGAAGTAAAGATGATGTCTTTAGTGTCAACGTTGTCATGGTGTCGTCATCGCACATCGTTCAGAAAGAAACGTAGACAGAAGAGGATGCTAATGTGTTAAACAGAGTTTTCCGACAGATTCTTCTTGTACCATGTTTGACTAAATCTAAGTTGATATACATATAATGCAGATCACATCAACACATCAGTTGACTGATGGAACGCTGGTCCAAAATGTTTTTAAAAAGTTTGAAACGTATGATCCCCCTGGGCGTACAAGAACTGTATGATCCTGTGTTCGAATCCCTGATCATGTTTCTTGGTCTGTTCATACCCGTGTCCGTGGGTTTCACTAAACCACCCAACATCTGGTTTTCCTCCAACAACAGAAACCCAGAAACCTATGATTGTGGGTTCGAATCCCGGTTCGCCCCGATTATGTTTCTAGGTTTGTCAGCACCATACCCGTGCTCGTGGGTATCACCGAAGTGGTAAACGTCTGAGATCTGCATCACTTCGGGCTTTCCTCCCACAACAAGCTGACACGCCGTGATATAACTGGAATAATGTTAACAGCGGCGTTAAACCGATCTCCTTATCGTAGTTATCACATGTTAAGGGGCGGTCGGGTAGCCTAGTGGTTAAAGTGTTCGCTGATCACGCCGAAGACTCGGGTTCGATTCCCGACATGGGTACAATGTGTGAAGCCCGTTTCTGGTGTCCCCCGCCGTGATATTGCTGGAATATTGCTAAAAGCGGCGTAAAACCATACTCACTCACTCACTCACTATCACATGTTAAGAATACAACTTATGTGTCATGCTCATCAAATGCTCACATAATACACTATCTATTCCTAATATGATAGTTACGATACGGATGCTGAATCAACAAATAATTTCTATGCATCATCGCACTAGGAAATGAACCACTATTGCATTTTGTTTGTTTGGCTATGTAAATATAACATGCTGGTTGTAAAGCGTCAATTAACATTATCGCCATGTTGGTCAAGTTTATAGATATGCTATGTCCGTTTGTCCGAGCCTCTCAATTGAATATTGGCACTGTCAGTATTGTCTTCCCGTTAAGGCAACACGTGTGACCCTGTTCATGGGTTCGAATCCCGAATTCTCCCCGATACTGACCCTTGGTATGTAAGAACCGTCCCGGCCTCGGGGGTTTCTCCAAAGTTTTGTTTGTTTGTTGATTAACGCCACACTCAGCAGTATTCAGCTTTGTGACGGCGGTCTGTAAATAATCGAGTCCAGACCAGACAATCCAGTGATTGATAACATGAGCATCAGTCTACGCAACTGGGATACGATTACATTCATCAACGAGTCAACGAGCTTGACCACCCGATCCCGTTAGTCAACCCTTGCGACAAGTCAAGCTGAAGATCAATTCTAACCCGGATCTTCACTGGTCCACTAATATATTACAATGAATGTACATAAGTTGTTTCCTAACAATATTCCAAGACACCTATATCGTCCCATCAATAAATTATATAAACATTGCACTTGATATTATGATACCATAAAAATAAATATAATCGTGCTCCGCTGACTATTTTGAATAATTGTATTTGGTCTAGATCTGGTGACACGTGTGCTTTTATATGTCGGTCATACTTGGTTCATGATACTCTGAATGTAAATAAAATATACACATGTCAATCTGTTCTTCTTTTGTCGCGGCTGTAAATGTATGGTCTCATTGCTTGTTCTCTGGTAATTTTATTTCAAAGCAAATAAACAGTAAACACTGTAATTCCTTCGATGCACCAATTTTATAATATTTTCCGAAAACTGACCACGTTTTTTTTCATAAGTAAGTTTACTTTTACGCCGTTTTTAGTACTATTCCAGCAATATCAGGGCGGGGTGCACCAGAAATGGGCTACACATGTACCCCTGTGGAGAATCAAACCCGGGTCTTCGGCGTGATGAGCGAACGCTCTAACCAGTTTGCTATGCGAACGCCCCAGGAAGTTATGAATACACATTGGTCGTCCAGATGAACACTCTTTTCAGCTATCTGGAGTGAGTATGGCTGTATGTCGCTTTTATCAATATTCTAGCAATACCACAGCGATGGACTACACAGCTTGTACCCATTTCGGGAATCGAACCCTAGTCTTCGGCGTTTCCAGCCAACACTTTAACCACTAGCCTACCCCACCGGTCCTTTCAGCTATCTGATATTGGTATCCAGATGATAGTATTTTAGCATATTATTAATATCTCACATTTCCACATCACGTGTCCTATCCTATTCAAATACATGGCATGGTTACCTCGACTTGCCTGAGAACTATACAAACATAACACAGCTTGTGGTAATGAGTCAGCTTAATGGTAATAGAGCCAGGTCACTCACGTATCCAGTGTTATCTCATTTCGGCCTTGACCGTCGTCCATACGTTGTAACTGTAAGGATCGTATCAAGGTCTCCAGTTCAGTAGCTTTAGACTAGAAGTCTTGACGCGTGCTCACAATCTGCTATACTCCCGTCTCTACTTCCTGCAAGACTCTGCACCGGAACATCATTCCAGGCCGTCCTACCAGTCTTACCAAGGTATTGTTATTCCTGAGTGTATTGCACATGCATATGCAGCATAGGAAGACACGTGTCGCCTGATTGGTGTTGGTGTACACTGCCCTACACTGAGCACCAACCTAGGGCGTCCTACCAGGTAAGCAGATAGTCTGATGGTATTACACAATGTTGACCTGCAGACAATATAGAAAGTCGTCTGCTCGTATTGGTGTGCACTGCCCCACATGGACCATCAACCTAGGGCATACTACCAGGTAAGCAGATAGTCTGATGGTATTACACAATGTTGAGCTGCAGACAATATAGAAAGTCGTCTGCTCGTGTTGGTGTGCACTGCCCAACATGGACATTCAACCTAGGGCGTCCTACAAGGTAAGCAGATAACCTGATGGTATTGCACAATGTTGACCTGCAGACAATATAGAATGTCGTCTGCTCGTATTGGTGTACATTGCCCAATATGGACCATCAACCAGCGCGTCCTACAAGGTAAGCAGATAGTCTGATGGTATTAAACAATTTTGACCTGCAGAATGTCGTCTGCTTGTATTGGTGTGCACTGCCCCACATGGACCATAAACCTAGGACGTCCTACCAGGTAAGCAGATAGTCTGATGGTATTGCACAATTTTGACCTGCAGACAATATAGAAAGTCGTCTGCTCGTATTGGCGTGCACTGCCCCACATGGACCATAAACCTAGGGCGTCCTACAAGGTATGCAGATAGTCTGATGGTATTGCACAGTTTTGACCTGCAGACAATATAGAAAGTCGTCTGCTTGTATTGGCGTGCACTGCCCCACATTGACCATCAACCAGGGCGTCCTACAAGGGAAGCAGATAGCCTGATGGTATTACACAATGTTGACCAGCAGAGAGTATAGAATGTCGTCTGCTTGTGTTGGTGTTTATACTGCCCCACATGGACCATCAACCAGGGCGTCCTACAAGGTAAGCAGATAGTCTGATAGTATTGCACAGTTTTGACCTGCAGACAATATAGAATGTCGTCTGCTTGTATAGGCGTGCACTGCCCCACATGGACCATCAACCAGGGCGTCCTTGCAAGGAGAGCAGAAGGTCTCATTGTATTGCACAGTGATGGTGACATGCAGAACGCGTGCTTTGCTTGTACCGGTTGACACGCTTTTTTTCGACGCCACATCTCTTATCACACATAACTTGATTGTCTGGGACCCGTTCCACAAAGCGATCGTACTGCTAAGATGATAGTTACTCCTACACTTTAACATAGACTTACGGCAGTCGTAGAGCTACACTCGCTTTGTGGAACGGGGCCCTGGTTGTTTACACACCGAGTACTGCTACGCTGGGTCAGGCAACAAACATTTACTTCTTTTATGCAAATTGTGTGAGTGGCGGGTGCTACCTGTAGGGCAGAACGTGCTTACCCCCTTCGCGAACACCTTGGCCCACTTGCACAAAGCAATCTTAACGCTAAGACTATCGTATGCCTATGTTAAAGTATGGGAGTTGCGATTACCTTAGCGCTAAGATCGCTTTGTGCAAGTGGGCCCTGGTGTCATTGATTTTCAGTAAACCATTTATATTATTTGCACTGCTATTTTGTCTTTCACGCCAAATGAAATATGTTTCGTTGGAAAATCAAGACAGGTTATTCCGTGGAGTTGACATTTTATATTTCCATCCTTTTCACCATCTTTGAATGCACTGACACTGCCTGCCTTAACCTCTCCATAGCATGGCTCGGAATCACTGGTCTATACGAATGCATGAAGGTCTACCCTAAAACTTTGTCATAATGAAATGCAGCGTCTTCCCAAAGCAAGGGAATTATTTGGGTATAAAATAATTTACAGCCTTGACGAACAATGCTGAATATTCGGAATTATAGTATGGCTGGACTAACGAGTCAATGCAAAGTGCAATCAAAATCGCGTGCAGATTTCAGTCGATTGCAGGATTGGCAAAGCAAACTGGGTGTTGACAGATATTTTTTTTTTAAATCAAGTTTTTAATCAAGTTGCTCAAGTGACTGCTGCACTTCGCGAGGTAAGACCCGTTTTTTTACAAGACAGATCTTGATTATCGATTAGATCATCTTGACTGGGCGCCGCCATTTTGTCTGAAGCAAATGCAAATGAGAGGTGGAATCAGATTGGTCAATAGGAGGGACAAAGAAGGGACATTATTCCTAATAGCCACTGGTGGCGCTACGATCGAGACACGAATTTCCAGCCTAATTCCATTCGAGTGGAAACTGGACTTTTATAGTCAGTTAACTACCTTGCCTTGGGAAGATAGGAATACAGTTGACTTACGCATGTTATGCGTTTGGTCCAAACGTCAAAAGATGTACCATTTAACGTTTGTAAACCGATCTGTACGAATTGCAATTAAATGTTTTATCTGTTATAACTGATTTAAATTATTATTTAAAGGTTATCATACAGACGGACACACTGACGTAATAAATTCTCTACTTATGGCCCTGGGCCCAGAAAGCAAACAAGATGATAAGTATATATAAATGCACATGGTGAATAAGCGCCTGGAGAATAATGCACTTGATGTTACAAGGATAGGTGTTTACTTCGTATCTTAATTAGCACTTGACATAGGAAATGACTCAAACGTTTAAGGATATTGTCGGTTGATATCGGTCTTGCAAAAGTTTCAGTTATTGGTGGTTTGATGAGATGATTGTCGAGACACTCTCTTCTTGGTTGGGAATAATACTAAAGGCCCGACGAAAGGCATCACGTCTCCTCCTTGCATGTCACTATTATGGTTACCTAACGAAAAGGTATTGTAAATGATTAACCAGCGTTCCTCCCTCGCCAGTCATCCAGCCCAGCCATGCCGACATGCCTGTTGAAAACCAATCTGAAGGACAGCGAGATCCCTGAAGATCTGGAGGTCACTTTGGCGCAGACCATCTCAAAGGTTCTCAACAAACCCATGGCGGTCAGTAGTCAGTAGTTATACATGCCACGACAACACTCACTACTACTTGCAATGCTAATAATTCTCGAACGCCAAATGTCCTATACATAAAGAGCTCGTTTATATGTGTAGATTGGCCTAGAAAATACTTGAAAAAAATAATTATGCTTGGTGCCGTTGAACAATTGTCCACCACCAAAAATACATTATTGCAAGATGCTCTTTAGACTCATAATTTTAGTGAATCAAATATCTGCAATGGCATTTGTAGCTGAAAACATATATAGTATTCAATCACAATCCTAGTCTCACATGCACACGCACACGCGCACGCGCACACACACATACACACCGACACAATATTACAGCAATATCACGGCGGGGGCACCAAAATGGGCTTCACACATTGTACACATGTGGGGGTGTGAACCCGGGTCTTCGGCGCGACGAGCGAACGTTTTAACCACTAGACTTTCCCCAACGCCCCTGATGTAAGGAGTGAGTGGTCCCATTAAAGCTACATTCATACCGTGTTCGTTTTATTTAATTTGGGGATAGTCATGAACTAAACACATTTTGATGAATTAATGTTTTCTAACTCTAAAAAGGGGCATGGGTGGCCCGGTCGTCTAAGGCGTCGCAAATTCGCTGTGCAGAGTTGCGTACCTTGGGCACACCAGAATCCTATTATTGTGTGTTCGAATCCCGGTTCACCGCTAGTATGTTTCCAAGTTCGTCAGCTCCATTTACCCGTGATCATGGTGTCAAGGGCCCACTAGAGCTTTCAGAACGTTTAAAGTATACATGTGGATGACATTTCGAAATTTGAGGCACCAGTGATAAACATTATGTCCGATGCAATTCCTTATTTTGACCTCCATATGTTCACGTGTTCGTTTTAGGTGAACAACTGACTTGCCCTTGCATGTGTTTGTGACGGGTGCTCATCTTTTCGCGAAAACCATCACTATTTGATAGTGATATATAAACGCATGCTTATGATATAGTCGGAATCTTACAATGATCTTTGCTTTTTGTAGAGATTTCTTGTGATTATTGAAATGGTTTTGTTGCTTATATTTGTATGCTGATCTTAGAGAAACATTTCAGCGAATGAACACAACGATACAGAGCGGACTGCGCATGTACCGCCTGGAGAGCACAGCCCCGACCTGCTTCCTTCAGATCCACTCAATAGACGTGTTTGACAAAGAGAGGAACCCAGCCTACACTCAGCCTATCATAGACTTCCTCAAGAATGCCTTGAACATCGACGGAAATAGGTGAATTGCGCAAAGTGTTTTGAGACGGTAGTGCCAATCATAATGTATTTCCAACAGATGGAAGTGAGGTTTATTAGTTTATATTTCAATCGTTGTTATAGCAACAGTTGAGGGTCGAGTGTAAGGACGCCGCATGCATTATACTACATGAAGGACGGAATTATGGTTGAATGTCAAGTCAGGTACTGGGAGTATTTTTGTGTATCTTATTGGTATTTGTTTGTTTTATATTATAAGTATTATAACGAGAGTTATATAAAACTATGGTGAAGCTTCTTATGACCGTCACCGCCTCCGTGGTCTAGTGGTAGAGCGTCCGCCCGGAGAGCGGAAGGTCCTGGGTTCGATCCCCGGCCGCGTCATACCAAAAGACGTTAAAAGATGGTACTTGTTGTTACCCTGTCTGGAGCTCGACATTAAGGGGCTAAAACAAGGACTGGTCGGCTCGGAGTCAGTATACTGTGTCTGAGTGGGGTATTCATGTTAAACTGCGGCATGGTATCTCAGTAAGCTAGCACTATAAATCGGCATCAGTCCGGACTAGCACAAGCAGCCACACAAACATACACACGTACATGCACGTCGCTATATAAGTGCAATAATCTTGGACGCGACGTTAAACCACATTTCACCTCACCTCTTATGACCGTCAGTTAATATTCTCATGACAGCGGGGAGTCTGTATATCGAAATGAAAACATTAAAGACAAAACTCTCTTTCATCTTTGTAAAATCAAAAATACATTGGTGCTTGGGTTATAGATGTATGATTTGATGTGAATTGTTTGATAGGCATACCTTTCTTGAAAACGGTATAGGAATCTACACCGAAACGTCGCCATTACAGTAAAATAGTTATTATCCATAAATTGTGCCTACTTTGTGATTTGAGTAATAAGTCTTACACTTCACCATTCAATTTTTCAGAATTGTTATCCAGTATCTTCCGTTACACCTTCATAACGTGGGATTAGAGACGCCGTTGTAGACGTCGTCGTCAACAGTATCGACGCGTCGTGCGTCACTGATGGTAGTCACAGAGTTGCGTCTGGACACGGCCTATGTACAATGCATATATGCCAGAATGAAAATCATCAGCATTTAAATAAATCTGAACGTTCAATACAAATGTCTATGAAAGATGTTGTTATTTTGTGTGTCCACAATACTTTGATGTATTCCTCTAATTGTTTGCATTCTGTAAGGTACCATGTGTAGTTGTTTCTACCGTGTTTATCCCCCAGATATAAGCGTATGAGGTTTGTTTGTTTGTTGATTAACGCCGCACTCAGCAATATTCCATCTATATGACGGCGGTCTGTAAATAATCGAGTCTGGAACAGACAATCCAGTGATTGACATCATGAGCATCGATCCACGCAATTTAGATACGGTGACATGCATCAACCAAGTCAGCAAACCCGACCACCCGTTCCCGTTAGTCGCCTCTTATGACAAGCATAGTCGGCTTTTACGGTAAGCATGGGTTGCTGAAGATCTATTCTACCCCGGATCTTCACGGGTCGGGTATAAGGTACCGAAATCAAAGACAGTCGGCGGCTTGCTAATCCCACAGTGCTGGAGGTGCGTTCCAAATGTTACACGTATGTGTGTATTAGTGAGGTGGGGTTTAACGTCGCGTTCAAGATTATTGGAGTGAGTATGGCTCTATGTCGCTTTTAGCAATATCCTAGCAATATCACGGCGATGAACACCGAAAAATGGACTACACAGCTTGTACCCATGTGGGGAATCGAACCCTGGTCTTCAACGTTTCGAGCCAACACTTTAACCACTGGCCTACCCACCGGCCCTTTCAGCTATCGGATATTGGTATCCAGATGATAGTATTTTAGCATATTATTAATATCTCACATTTCCAGATCACGTGTCCTATCCTATTCAAATACGTGGCATGGTTACCTCGACTTGCATGAGAACTATACAAACATAACACAGCTTGTGGTAATGAGTCAGCTTAATGGTAATAGAGCCAGGTCACTCACGTATCCAGTGTTATCTCATTTCGGCCTTGACCGTCGTCCATACGTTGTAACTGTAAGGACCGTATCTAGGTCTCTAATGCAGTATCTTTAAACGTTAGACTAGAAGTCTTGACTTATCTTACTTCCTGCAAGACTCTGCACAGGAACACCATCCCAGGCCGTCCTACCAGTCTTACCAAGGTATTGTTATTCCTGAGTGTGTATTGCTAACATTCAGTATTAGGAAGACACGTGTCGCCCGATTGGTGTTGATGTACACTGCCCTACACTGACCATCAACCTAAGACGTCCTACAAGGTATGCAGATAGTCTGATGGTGTAACACAATGTTGACCTGCAGACAATATAGAATGTCGTCTGCTCGTGTTGGTGTGCACTGCCCAACATGGACCATCAACCTAGGGCGTCCTACCAGGTAAGCAGATAGTCTGATGGTATTACACAATGTTGACCTGCAGACAATATAAAATGTCGTCTGCTTGTATTGGCGTGCACTGCCCCACATGGGCCATCAACCAGGGCGTCCTTGCAAGGAGAGCAGATAGTCAGATGGTATTAAACAGTGATGGTAACATGCAGAACTCGTGCTTTGCTTATACCGGTTGACCGGCCTTTTTCGACGCCACATCTCTTATCACACATAACTTGATTGTCTGGGACCCGTTCCACAAAGCGATCGTACACAACACAACCGCAGTGCAGATTTCAGTCGATTGCAGGATTTGCAAAGCATCTGCACCGTCAACTGGGTGTTGACAAATATTTTTTTATAAAGCCAAGTTTGTAATCAAGCTGCTCAAGTGATTTGGTGAACTTCGCGAGGTAATACCCGTTTTTTTACAATACAGATCTTGATCATCGATCAGATCATCTTGACTGGGCGCCGCTATTTTGCCTGGGGCAAATGTAAGTGAGAGGTGGAATCAGATTGGTCAAAGGAGGGACAAAGAAGGGACATATTTCCTAATAGCCACTGGTGGCGCTACGATCGAGACACGAATTTCCAGACAAATTCGGCAAGGGTGGAAACTGGACTTTTGTATTCAGTTAACTACCTTGCCTTGGGAAGATAGGAATACAATTGACTTACACATGCCATGCGTTTGGTCCAAACGTCAGTAGATGTATCATGTTACGTTTGTAAACCGATCTGTCCGTAATGCAATTAAATGTCTCATCTATTATAACTGATTCAAATTATTATTTAAAGGTTATCACACAGACGGACACACTGACATCATATATTCTCTACTTAGGGCTCTGCGCCCATAAAGCAAACAGGATGATAAGTATATTTAAATGTATATGCCGAATAAGCGCCTTGAGAATAATGCAAACAAGGATAGGTGTTTGGCAAAGGAAATGACTCAAACGTTTAAGGATATTGTCGGTTGATATCGGTCTTGCAAAAGTTTCAGTTATTGGTGGTTTGATGAGATGATTGTCAAGTCACTCTCTCCTTGGTTGGGAATAATACTAAAGGCCCGACGAAAGGCATCACGTCTCCTCCTTGTATGTCACTATTATGGTAACCTAACGAAAAGGTATTGTAAATGAATTCAGATATCGGCCGTAAGTAACCAGCGTTCCTCCCTCGCCAGTCACCCAGCCCAACCATGCCGACATGCCTGTTGAAAACCAATCTGAAGGACAGCGAGATCCCCGAAGATCTGGAGGTCACTCTGGCGCAGACCATCTCAAAGATTCTCAACAAACCCATGGTGGTCAGTAGTCAGTAGTTATAAATGCCACGACAACACTCTCTACAACACTCCGACACAATATTACAGCGACATCAAGGCGGGGGCACCAGAAATATGCTTCACACATTGTACCCATGTGGGGGTGTGAACCCGGGTCTTCGGCGCGACGAGCGAACGCTTTAACCACTAGACTACCCCCAACGCCCCTGATGTAAGAAGTGAGTGGTCCCATTAAAGGTACATACATAGCGTGTTCGTTTTAATTAATTTTGGGATAGTCATGAACTAAACACATTCTGATGAATTAATGTTTTCTAACTCTAAAAAGTGGCATGGGTGGCCCGGTCGTCTAAGGCGTCGCACATTCGCTGTGCAGGGTTGTGTACCTTGGGCACACCAGAATCCTATTATTGTGTGTTCGACTCCCGGTTCACCGCTAGAATGTTTCCAAGTTCGTCAGCTCCATTTACCCGTGATCATGGTGTCAAGGACCCACTAGAACTTTCAGAACGTTTAAAGTATACATGTGGATGACATCTCCAAATTTGAGGCACCAGTGATAAAAATTCCGATGCAATTCCTTATTTTGACCTCCATATGTTCACGTGTTCGTTTTAGGTGAACAACTGACTTGCCCTTGCATGTGTTTGTGACGGGTGCTCATCTTTTCGCGAAAACCATCACTATTTGATAGTGATAATAAAACGCATGATTATGATATAGTCGGAATCTTACAATGATCTCTGCTTTTTGTAGAGATTTCTTGTGATTATTGAAAGTTTTTGTTGCTTTTATTTGTATGCTGATCTTAGAGAAACATTTCAGCGAATGAACACAACGACACAGAGCGGACTGCGCATGTACCGCCTGGAGAGCACAGCCCCGACCTGCTTCCTTCAGATCCACTCAATAGACGTGTTTGACAAAGAGAGGAACCCAGCCTACACTCAGCCTATCATAGACTTCCTCAAGAATGCCTTGAACATCGACGGAAATAGGTGAATAGCGCAAAGTGTTTTGAGACGGTAGTGCCAATCATAATGTATTTCCAACAGATGGAAGTGAGGTTTATTAGTTTATATTTCAATCGTTGTTATAGCAACAGTTGAGGGTCGAGTGTAAGGACGCCGCATGCATGTACTACATGAAGGACGGAATTATGGTTGAATGTCAAGTCAGGTACTGGGAGTATTTTTGTGTATCTTATTGGTATTTGTTTGTTTTATATTATAAGTATTATAACGAGAGTTATATAAAACTATGGTGAAGCTTCTTATGACCGCCGCCGCCTCCGTGGTCTAGTGGTAGAGCGTCCGCCCGGAGAGCGGAAGGTCCGGGGTTCGACCCCGGCCGCGTCATACCAAAAGACGTTAAAAGATGGTACTTGTTGTTACCCTGTCTGGAGCTCGACATTAAGGGGCTAAAACAAGGACTGGTCGGCTCGGAGTCAGTATACTGTGTCTGAGTGGGGTATTCATGTTAAACTGCGGCATGGTATCTCAGTGAGCCAGCACTATATATCGGCATCAGTCCGGACTAGTACAAGCAGCCACACAAACACACACACGTACATGCACGTCGCTATATAAGTGCAATAATCTTGGACGCGACGTTAAACCTCATTTCATCTCACCTCTTATGACCGTCAGTTAATATTCTCATGACAGCGGGGAGTCTGTATATCGAAATGAAAACATTAAAGACAAAACTCTCTTTCATCTTTGTAAAATCAAAAATACATTGGTGCTTGGGTTATAGATGTATGATTTGATGTGAATTGTTTGATAGGCATTCTTAGAAGCTGACGGATGACAAAGTAGACACAATTTAAGGATATCAGCTTTATTTTTTAACTGTAATGGTGACGTTTCGGTATAGACCCTTTCTTGACAACGGTACAGGAATCTACACCGAAACGTCGCCATTACAGTAAAATAGTTATTATCCATAAATTGTGTCTACTTTGTGATTTGAGTAATGAGTCATACATTTCACCATTCAATTTTTCAGAATTGTTATCCAGTATCTTCCGTTACACCGTTGTAGACGTCGTCGTCAACAGTATCACCGTGTCGTGCGTCACTGAGTAGTCACAGTGTTGCGTCTGGACACGGCCTATGTACAATGCATATATGCCAGAATGAAAATCATTGGCATAAATCTGAACGTTCAATACAAATGTCTATGAAAGATGTTGTTATTTTGTGTGTCCACAATACTTTGATGTATTCGTCTCATTGTTTGCATTCTGTAAGGTACTATGTGTAGTTAACACTTGTTTCTAACGTGTTTATCCCCCAGATATAAGCGTATGAGGTGTTTTTTTGTTTTTAAACGTTTTTATTGTTCCCAGAGTTGTAGATTAATACAGTATTCCGTCAAAGACATATTTCGGATTGCATAGAATAGCACAATACACTCTTT